GGAGCCGCCCGGCCCGGCCCAGGCCCCCCCCCCCCCAAGCACCACAACTGATTTATCGGTTAGTTAAGGCACTCTACAACCTGGTAACACCAAAGGGCAACCATTTGGGACCAGACCTTGCAGAATCTCTCTGGGGTAAGTGGCTCTGCTAAAGCCAACAGCACTGTTCCCACAAGAATCAGCAAGTCCAGCCCACTAGCATGTCTTCAACAGTGTAATTCAGCAAATCAAAAGCACCTTCACAAAGAGGCACACAATCACAGTGCAGCTTTCCAGAGGCAGGTTACGGGCACAAGGTTCTTGTCCTTCAGAGAGAGAGTCAATAAACCCCAACAGAGCCCTGAACATTGCAAGACCTTCAGGAGTTGGCTGGGCAGCACAGCTCTGTGTGTTATCTCACCAGAAATTGGGTAGACTCGTGCAAAAGCACAACTGGCACCATCCAGAGCCAGCCTGGTCTGAAACTGCATTCCAAAACAGGCTTAGGAGTGTTATCTTAAAAAATTATGGAAATCTGAGAAGGAGCAGAGACTGTCCTCACAGACACAAGCGAGTCCACAGGAGCATGTTCAGCAAGCGTAGATGTAGGTCCTGCCTGACCATGCGACTTGTGGCTCTCAAACACAAAGCTGTTTACTCCTGGCTTGCCTACACAGCCTCCACAGCCTTTGTGCTACAATGCTTTTGTTTCAGGTGAAAAATTGAGTCAAACTTGCCGCACAGGAACTGAAAACCTTGCTCAATAGCCATCAGACAAGCTACAGAAATGAAACATGTAGAAACATTTGTCCTAAAACAAAAATATAAACATTTTTACCAGCTGATACAAAACAAGCATTAAAACAGAAACCCTGAAATACTCTGAAGACACTTTTACCTGGGCAAAAGAGTGCCACACAGTTGGCCAGGGAGAACACAGGTGGGCCAACCCAGCCTCTGAGGTCTTCTCCCCTTTTACATCAGACAGCAAAGGGAACCCCCCCCAAGCTGCAGCAATTGTAGAGACCTTGACTCAGGCATTGGCAGAAGGAAGACCAGCCTTAATATAATTTGGCCAATTCTCTTTGGATTTCCATCAGCTGTGATGGATTAGAGCTGTCCCCATCAGCTCCTTCCTAGACAATTTTGGGCTTCTCCTCCCAGGCCCACTGTTACTCAGGGGATGAAAAGGACTTGGTCTGGTTAGGGGGATCTACACCTTCCTCCTCCCAGAAGAAATGCTACAGGAGACTCAGCTACATGGTGAGATTTCCCCTTGACCCAGCGTGAAACCCTGACAACCAAAACATACCCCAGAAGGTGCAGTGGTCTCAGCATGGACTGCCCAGCCACAACACCCACCTAAAGTCCCTGCAGAGCTTGTCCCTCTTGCCCCAAAGGGGCAAAAAAGAAACCAGGAAGAGCAATGCCCCGTTAAAGAGAACTTTGCAAGGGCTGCGAGGGAGCCAGTTGGGGTGACTGTCACATGTCCTGCAGAGGCAGCAGATGAGTGGTGACAGCAGGGAGAGGCCACAAGCGTGCACCACTGCTCAAGGAAGGCATCAGAACCCTTCCCTGTACACCTGCATCACCCAACGCCTGTCCTTGGCCCCAAGATATCTACATCTCCCTGCGCCCCTGTCAGACGTGTCCCAGAAGAACTCCCAGAGAGAAGGACAGATGCAGGGAACTTGTCAGCAGGAAACAAAACGAGCGACACATTCAAGACCTGCGTGCCTTCTCTTTGGAAAAAGAAATGGAGGAGTAAGATCCAGTGAAGATTTTCACTACTCCAAGCCAGCGAGCACGGCCAGGCACAAATCACCTGTCCCCGAGACACACCAAATATGTGTCACCCCTCACAGGCTCGAGTACAGGGGAAAACATGGCAACACCAAACCCACAGCAGCACAGGCTTTGTGCAAGCCTCAACATTGAGTCCCCGTGTGTGGGTCGCAGCCCCTCTGCGTGTTCATGGGGATGCCCTCTTCTTTAAGCCACTCCTCCAGAAGACCACATCTCAGCAGCAGCCAGCCCCAGTCTCTGCTTTGCTGGTGTTGTCCAGCCCTGCCCGCTGGGTGGGTATGTCTTCTACAGGCATCGGGACTGACTCACGCTTCCCCTTCCTCGCACACAATTTTAAGACACGGTGTCCTTTTCAAACTTCATTAGACTCCCTTTTTTTTTTTTCCAGTCTAATTGGCAAAGCTGATTACACAAAGGCACCCTTTGAGCCTAGATTTTGCCCACCCCATTCCCGGGGTGCGTGAGGCTGTTGATGTGAAGTCCGCTGATCCCGTTAAGGAAGAAGAGAAAGGCAGCGATGAACTCGCACCAGTACGTCAGCGTGAAGCCCGTGAAAGTGAGGTGATCCTTCACGAGGATGGAGAAGCTCAGAACCCCAGTGGCCGACAGCAGAAAAGAGCCCAGGATGAGAACCGAGCCCATCGACCACTTCCGCCTCGCGTTGGCATCCTCACAGACTTGGGACACCATCAAGAGCTCCAGGCCGAATATGGCAACCACAACGGCAAAGGCCACCATGCTTCTGATGGGAATCACCCCCACGCTCAGCCCCTCCACCTTGGCCAGGCTGAGGTCGGTGACACACTTGAGGACGCTGCCGTTGCCAACGGTGCAGAAGTGCCACAGTCCGAAGAGCTGCCCCCTTGAGAAGAGCCAGCGGCCATCGCAGACGGAGATGGACGACAAGACCACCGCTATGGCCACGCACAAGATGATCAGGCTCCTGATGAATGTCTCAAAGAAGGATTTCTGTGGCCTCCGCTGCGCCAGCAGCCTCTGCGCCTTAAAGGATATCAAGGGGGAAGAAAAAAAACAAACCCTTGAGTTACCACCACCAGTTAAGGGTGAAATGAAACCAGCGGGACAAAGCTGTGGGACGTCAGCGTGAGGAGTGATTTGCTCGTGCCCATCAAAGCCCTTCTCGCAGGGGAAGGCAGCGCAGTTACAGCCTGTACCCGGCAGAGAGGAAGGGTGGGTGAAGCTCTCCCGCTTCCCGGGATGCGGGAACAATGCTCCCACATCAAGGCCCGGGTTCGGGATCACAAAGGCTCCCAGGCTGAGCAAGCAGGATCCCTGCCCCACGGCACAGCCTCCTGCTCCGGCAGCGCCGGAGGAAACCGCCGGCCCCTGGGGAGGATGGAGCAGACGGGACGGGACGGGGGAGGCGGCAGAAGCGAAGTGGGGGGGACAGACAGACAGACGGACACCCGATTGCCACCACTGCCCTGCTTTTCCCACTGCCTTCCTTTTCCCACAGCCCTCCTGAGCTGCGGCCAGGGCTCCCCTCCCCTCGCCTCGCCCCGGGGCTGCGGGGCTCGGCTCCCTCGGGGCTGCGGGGGGGTATCTCCGGCCGTACCCCCGAGGGCCGGCGTGGGGACCACGCACCCCTTCCTCAGCGAAACCCTCTGTAAGAGCCCGAAATTTAATTAAAAGCTACGCCAAGCACCCCCAAAGCCCTCTCCAGCGGTGCCGCGGCGGTGGGGACGGGGGAGCCGCGGAGCCCGAGGGACCCGCTGCCTGCCCGGGGAAGGGGTGTCTGTCTCCGGGGAGGGGGTGTCTCCGGGGAGGGTCGAGTCGGGGCGACCCCGGCCGTGCAGGGAGCACGGCGGGGCAATGCGATGCGCGGCCACCCCCCCTCCCCGGTACGGGGCCGGTAGCGACGTACCTGCGCCCCGATGGCGGTCATGCTGCCGGTAGCGCCGAGAGACGGGCAGGCGAGCGGGCGGGCTCCGGCGGCGGCTCTTTATCTGCCCGGAGGGCGGCGGGCAGCCCGGCCGGCCCCTCCGCCACGCCCGCCGGGCCGGGGCGCCCTCGGGGCCCCCCCCGCGGCTGAGTCAGCAGCGCGGCCCCGGCGGGCGGAGCCGGACCCTTCTGCCCCCTCCCCGGTACGACACGGCACGGCGGGGAAGGGCCAAGCTGCCCCGTCCCGGGGCATCGGGGGGTCCGTGCCCGCTCTAGAGCCCGGGGAGAAGGTGCCCTGTGCCGCCCCTCCGACCCTCCCCGTCTGGCACCGGCTGCCGCCGAGCTCGGGGCTCGTTCCTCCCCGTGTGGCACCGGCTGCCGCCGAGCTCGGGGCTTGTTTTTGGCCGCCGCCCCCACGCCAGGCCATCCCTGGGACCTGCTTGTGCCGTTGGTTTTGCAGCCCATCGGGTTGCTCTCCACCAGAAGCGTGTGTGGCCAAGGTGTCCCTCGGCATGGCCGGGCACCGAACATCAAAACACTCCATCCCGCCCTTCCCCAGCTCCATCTGCTCCCGGTGACGGTGTTTTGGGAGCCAGTGGGACACCGGTCCTCCTCCTCCTCCTCACCCCGGGCGGTGCCGTGCACTCTCTTATCAATAACCAGCCCGCTTCACCTTGTGTATCTCTACCTCTACCGTCAGCAAAAACCTCTGCTGCTCATAAAGTTTTATGCCCTTGCTCTTTTCCTCGCTCATGTTTTGCCATCCTCTAATGAATTACTGACCCCTTCACTTTTTTTTTTTCTTTTTTTTTTCTTTTTTGGTCAAAACAACTTTTTTTTTTAAAAAAAAAAAAAGCCCAAGGAAGCTAGGTTTTGCTGTGTCATCAGAAAATCTCATTTTACTGCCAAATTCTGATTGAGGTTCCAGCGGGGAGGTCTGCAGTGACTCCACAGGCTCCAGGGGATGGACTCGGGGGTCCTTGTTCTGGGCCCCCCTCGTATGTATTGGGGGGCAGAATGGGGCCATTCCCTTTCTAGCCAAGAGGAGCTGGAAGGATCTCCTTCTCCACCATGGGCTGGTAGAAGTTAGGGTAACTTCATGTTGCTTCCAGCTTCCGTTTCTGAATATACCAGTAGCCTAAACAGATTGGCTCATTATTTTAATCTCGACACAGTTTTATGAGGGTTTTCTATGTTTCCTTTAAAAATACACGTGTATCTGTAACCATTTGGCTGGGGGTGTTTTCTGTAAGAGGGAGTGTTCGAGCAATATGTTTACTTCGGTTTCATACCTCATGCTTCAGTGATAAATTCTGACCTGTTTCTTTCCCTCCTCCTGCAAAATCTTTTATTCAATTGTTTCTCATCCAAGTTGTATACGTTATTAGACGGTATTTCTATCAAAAACAAATTGGGGTTTCCTGCTTTTTGCAACACAGCGGATTTTTGCAAGGTCTGTCGTTAAAACTTCTTTTGTGGGTTTGTGGGCTGCAACATTTTTTGTTTTCTGAGCGTGTTTTCCAAGCTGGCGGGCTCGACGCTTGCCACATCCCTTTCATTTGAGGTTCATCAGAAGAGTTTTATGAACACCGCAGGTTAGACCAGCATTTCCCTACAGTGGCACTCGGACAGATCACACGCGTTCGCTGTTACACCTCTGCCCTTCTAAGCTCCAAATTCAACAATATCCATGTATTTTCGGCTCAAAAAGCACGAGCAGCCTTTGATGTCCAATTTTCTGCGTGAACCAAACAAGCCCTGCTTGCACCTCAGCGTGCTGAGCAAACCCAGGCTGGGGCCAGACAAAATACACCAACTCTTATCTGGCAAGAACCTCACACCACTTAACGCTTTCGGTAACGGGAGGCTCAGTCCTGCAAAGCATTAGGCAATCTGGCCCCTGATTAGCAAAATTATTAAGCATAAATCCGCCTGAAAAAACATGAGTCATCCTAATAACTTCAGCCTTTTAAAAAAAGAAAAGAAAAAAAAAAATATTTTAATAGCGATGTGTATCCTGCTGAGCAAGACCATTTTTTTTTCTGTAAAAGCCCGTGGTAAAGGCTCACATGAGTAAACACGTGCAGGAAAAGCTTTCTAGAATGAGGAACTTATTACTTTTGAAACTAAAACTGCCCCCCGTCACACTTGGATCTTTTAGTAGATGTATCTGCCGAGCAGCTTCATTGAGGAAAGGGGTGCTTTGGGAACGGCGCTCTTGCTGCAAACACAAAATTGCTTTAATATTTTGTATTCAATTTAGTTTTCCCAAATATAAAATACAAACCAGAACTCCACCTGACCTGTAATTAATGCCAGCATTGAATTGGTACTTTCAGATTCACTGCTTACCGAAGTCACTGAGGGGAGGACAATCGTAACAGTTGTGTAAAAAGAATCAGTTACTGATAGTTTACTAACACTTTGTTTCTTATTAACACTTCCTGTTGCTTGACTGGAGATACCTTCTGGTGGAGATGCCTGGATTCCTGAAGCCTGCTAGGACTGTGCACCTTTTCCAAATGGAAAAAGGAGTTTTATCTTCATTGTCTCATAACCAGTATATTTCTTCATCTTTTAAAGATTAAAAATTAACAGAATTGCTTGAAGACAAACTGTCTCAAAGAAAAATGCCTCGAGATGATTATTTTTGGAAAATCGTATGTGAATACAGTGTTTTACAATAAAAAGAGCTCAGTGCTTTAAAAGGAAAGCCAAGAGTTTATGTTTTGCCTGAAAAATATGTTACCTACATCATAACAACATGCTAAATGACCTTTAAAGTACTTTAGATGTATTTTTGGCTCAGCTGTGTTAATGCAGAGTTCTTGGTGTATTGCCAGTTTCATTATTTTGTTTAGAAAGTCCCTTTTCTCTATTGTTTAAGCGAGCGTTTCACATCCTATCCCCGGAGAGAAAGTTTTCAGGGAAATGTGTTCACAAATAATGGAAATTACCAGAGAGTGTTGTAAAACATGAAAACAGTTTCATCTGGTTCGCTTAAAACCATGAGAAATTTTAAAACTGAAGAATCTGTTCCAGCTTTTCTCCTGCAGATACCCAGAGAAGGTTCAGGGTTGAAGTCTGAGAGTCCCCGGGGCTCAGGGAAGTGTCTGTCACCCGGTGAAGTATCTCACTCGGAGCTACAGCAGAACACAAGTGACTGAGTCACCACCAGCGCAGGTTGGTCTTTATCTCCAGGTCGGTTACCTCTGTAAATGCATTTTGCTGTGGAGTAAAATGCTTTCTGATCTCTTCTGTAATTCCTGGCCTAGCAACTGATCTGGGTAGGCGTTTAAAGCCTCATTTTTATCAGATCCCTATTTCAAGGGGTCTGTCCAGACAGAAGTTGACTGACCTGATCTTGGAGACAAACAGATCTCCAGTATCTTGCAGACTGAGACTTTGGGACATGCCCCAGGCCTGTATGAGCAGCAAAATGGTTTTATTCATGCCTTCTCCAAAAAGTGAGCACGTAAAACATCTTATAAGGAAGAGACTACCTGTCTTGTGTCACCAATCTTTTGCTGCTTTTTTTTTTTTTCCCCTTTTTCTTTTTTTCTGGCAGTAGATTGAAAATCCAAGCAGAAGCTGCTGCGTTAGCTCAGGCTGGGTTCACCCAAGCTGGGCTGAAACGCTGCTTCTGGAACGGGGCAAAAAGTCAGCTGCAAGCTGCTGGGAAGCCACTGGAGACCAGCAGCTTCTGGGAAGTCAGGCACAGTCACCCTCAGTGAGGAGCGCCCGGGGCAGCACGTGTAACGAGAGGGACCAGCCCCTTGTCACAACGGCTTGGGCTCACGATTTTCCTCTCACCACTGCAGCTGAGCGGGCAGCCTCGTCCCAGCACGCAGCAGAGATGCAGTGAAGCACGTAAAGAGGAGACAGCTCCTGGGCCAGATGGTTGTTGGACTTTGCCTCCTGCCTTGGAGACCTCTCCGGTGCCACTGGAAGGCAGACAGCTCATCCAGCCTAGGGGCTTCCCGTCCCTGCAGCCCCAGGATTTCCCACTCACTGCTGGACGTGCACCAGAGACCTGGGCTGGGGGACACGGCAACAACACCCACCTCTGAGCCTGGCATAGGCACCAGAGACCTGGGCTGGGGGACACGGCAATAACACCCACCCCTGAGCCTGGACTGGGCTGGGGGACACGGCAACAACACCCACCTCTGAGCCTGGCATAGGATCATAGAATCGCCCAGGCCGGAAGGGACCTCCAAAGGTCATCTAGTCCGACCTCCCCGCAGTCAGCAGGGACACCCCCAACTAGACCAGGTTGCCCAGGGCCTCGTCGAGCCTCACCTTGAATATCTCCAGGGAAGAGGCCTCAACCACCTCCCTGGGCAACCTGTGCCAGTGCTCCACCACCCTCACAGTAAAGAGCTTTCTCCTAATCTCCAGTCTAAATCTGCTCCCCTTCAGCTTAAAGCCATTGCCCCTCGTCCTGTCACTGCAGGGCTTTGTAAACAGGCTCTCCCCAGCCTTCCTGTAGGCCCCTCTCAGGTACTGGAAGGCTGCTATTAGGTCTCCCCAGAGCCTCCTCTTCTCCAGGCTGAACAACCCCAGCTCCCTCAGCCTGTCCTCATAGCAGAGGTGCTCCAACCCCCCTGGATCATCCTTGTGGCCCTCCTCTGGACCTGCTCCATCACGTCCATATCTTTCCTATATTGAGGGCTCCAGACCTGTACACAATACTCCAGGTGAGGTCTCATCAGAGCAGAGTAAAGCAGAAGAATCACCTCTCTGGACCTGCTAGCATCCTCTCACTCATCCGAACCAAACGACACTCACAGCTGGGTTAGAAACACAGTGATAATACACCAGTTCACTACAGTGACTCTACTCCCCACCCCAACTAACTCTAAGAGGAGAGACTTTAAGCAGAAGGACAAGCTTAAAGGAATACATTTTGTATCCCGGAAAGAACCGATTCATTTGTAGATCTACCTCAGCATCACGGGGCACTCGCTTCCTCTGCTTTGATTCAGGTCTTCTCAGGGATCTCTGGCTTAGGACATACCTCAAACTATCTGCATCTGCCCATTGTGACAAACTGAAGCTTTGAAATATACATTTGATACA